CCGCAACAAATAATGCCTTCAGTGATCTGATTAGTTGAAGCTTTCATACACGTCCAATCGCAGGGCTGTTTACAAACGGAAAACGGAGAGACTGTTCGGGAGAGCTCGTGAAAACTCGACGATAAGGTACCTGACCGCCCCTAAAATTTTCTCAACGGATTTAGACGATTCACAAAAATGATCAATTTAAGAAATAAAATGGCGGATTTCCGCGGATACGCGGAAAATTGCCATCTATGCTACAGTAATTTGCGGAAGTTACTTTGAGTGTGAGGGAAAATGGTAGCAATTACTTTAGTGATTGTTGCGATTTTCTTATGAGCGAACTTTGCAGGATGTCAAACTTTGGAGGCTGCTCTTACTGTGAAGCCCAAGAAAATGTATGATTATTATTATTATTATTAAAACAAAAAAACTGCATAGACCGTCATGGTTTTGTTGTGTTTAGCCATCCAGGTTATTTTTGACAAAAACACAAAGTGAATCTTAATAAGCCAAAGCAATCGATAAGGTGGTACTTACTCCTTATATGAGAAAGAGATCTCGTTTGAAGCACGTGTGAACAAACTTTTTGGACCGACGATCGACTTTTCGTTTAACCAACCTCCCGGGTCGCCCGTTACCGCGCGCGCACACACGCACGCACGCACGAACGCACGCACGCACGCACGTACATTGGCGTGCACACACCCACACACACACACACACACACACACACACACACACACACACAGACACACACACATGCGCGCGCGCGCGCACGCGCCATGAAGAGAAGCGAAACACTGTAGCAATCGATGCACTTTTGCAGCCTGTTGACTATCGTAGCTCACACGTACCGTTTTCTTCGTGCTTCCCTCAGCCCTCTAGATTCCTGTTCTTTGCCCGTGCCCTCGGTGAATTGTACACTAAGCAAACTCTGAATGTGAATAATGACGATCAAAGATATAGTGCAACAGCTCTGATCACAAGCTGCAATTGCAGACTGCTGAGCGCTAACAACTTCCGCTGACGTAGGTCACGCGCCACCGTAGGTTAAAGATTTACCTGCTTTATTTTATTTGATTTTAAAAATGTTTTTTGGGGAAAATGAGACTGATAGGATGATTAGGGTGCAGTGTACATTAACACAAAAATATATGACTAGCATGTACAAAGACACACAAATGTTTTTTGTTTTTTTTTCTCCACTACAGTCTGCACTTTTCGGATCTAATTGGGACGAGTCCTAGATCTACCGATCGATCAGGATCGACGTAATGGGCACCCCTGAGTTAGAGAGTTATGAGCTTTTGCTATATGAGATGCATTGTTGTGAACTGTAAGACTGTTTGGCCAAATGACCTTGTAGTTTTAATAATGTCATGTCAGTTTCAAGAAATTTGCCAAATCAATAGAGCAAAACTTAATGAATCATCCACTCGCACACTACCCTGCCATCACCTGTGATACGACTACACATCACAGGAGTAATTTACATTTCAAAACTGCAGGGGGAGCCTCAGATCAACATTTTGACTGTTCAATCTATTCCTTACATTTTTTTGACGAATGTCACATAAACATATAATGTGTACAAATATTTAAAATAATTATTTTAGCAACTTAGTTTATCCATACAAAACATAAAAATACACGAAT